TGCGCACCTACATGAAGTCGTGCACCTCTGACTCGTAACATCAGGATGAATTGTGGGAGGGAGGGTGTGTCTGCAGCTGTCTAGCACCCATGTGAACCTGCTGGGGACCAGTAATGAAGACATTCATCAAAACCCAAGATCCCTACAGGGACTCAAATTCTGGGACTGCAAATCACCTGAGCCCCTTTGTACTCCCTACATACATTCCCTTACTCTGATTTCTTTGTTCTGCGTTCCCTCTCTCTCCTTAAAAAAAAAAAAATTAAAAAAAAAAAATCCCAGTGTGCATTGAGAGGGGGAGATGGGTTTTTGAAGACAAGAAAAGTCTCCCATCTCCCCAGTTGCTGGCAGTTGGAATAAACTTCTCTTCGCCTTAGCCCCTGTCTTGTGAGTTTGGCTTTCAGGGCAACAGGCATTCCAGACCTGATGACAGGATATTTTCCTGGTTTCACTTTCAGGAGCTTGGGCCCTTTCTCTGGGTGGCCCAACCCATCAATGACCCAAAAGTCTTCCTGGGTGAGGGGAGAAGAAATGGTCACTGGTCACTCCAGTGGATTAAGTAAATGCAACTATTACTATTAAATGGTGATACCATCCCCCCCCTCCCCCCCCCCCCCCCCCCCCCCCCCGCTTCTGGTCACACACCCTCAGGTTATTGTTTAGATGTCTTTCCTCTGTCCCCGGTCCCTCAGGCAGAGGCAGCTCCCAGAAAGAGGACTGTCCTTCTCCAGACTGTGGACACCAGGAAAACACTGCCTAGGACTCCTGCTCAGCAAAGGCTCCCTCGCCCACACCCCACCTCTGAGCTACAGATGAGTCTACACTGAGCTGTCTACACAGCCTGAGACAGAAGTGGATTGCCTCCGAGTTGCCCCATCGAGGGAGCTTCTGAAGGTCCAGGTCCATAGCAAGACGCTTCTCTACTGGAATAATTCTGATTTTTCTCTTAGTTTTGTTGCTATGGGGTGATCAATCAATGGCCTGAATGGAAACCACTTGGTTGATAATTCTTAGACAATGTTCTGCAACTGCAGCGCATTTAGATAACTCTGTTAGTTGCTTACGTTCAATCCTATCTGTAAGTAGTGTAATAACAGTATCTTTGCTATTGCTAACAAATTCACTAAAGTAACTCCGAAACACAGCCAGAATTCGGTCTTCTAAAGTAACTTTGACATTTTTTTTTTTTTGGTTTTATTTCTATTGTGTAAGTGACTTCACACCATCTCACAGGGAAAGTTGCTAAGATTATAACTTTTAAGGTAGTGTTTCATAGATCTGGATTATATAAAAGTAACTATTATTGCTAAATGTCACTTATTAGATTTCCAGACAGTGCACATGGAATAGCTTGGTCATTGTGGTCTAAAGAGTTGCTCCTGCTGACCCGGAAACACCAATTTTTGTCTTTTGTATGAGGTATCTAAGCCCTGTCTGTGTGGTTGAGATGACTCCATCGCACACATATAATTGTATGATTCCAGGGCCAAGGTTCCCCAACGGAGCTAATGTGGAAGGGAACTCCCAGGTGCAGGCCTTCCCCAGCCTGGGACCAAGAGTCTGAATGACACACCTGTCCCATCATCAGGGATGAGCGCGTTTTTTATCACGGTTCTCCTGCCCTCTCGTTTTTCAGCCTCTAGATCCAGCAGAGCAAACACCCAGGGCCTTGAGATTGTATCTCTGTTTGTTTTGGTTGATTGAACATTTTCCTTCCTTGTTTAACGTTTTTTTTTCAGATTTCTGGGGACTGTTCTCCAGCGCTGATGTTACTTGAGACCTGGCCAACAGAAACACACCGTCTGCCTGTGGCTGGGGTGTCATGCGGAAGCTGAGGGCCGAAACTGCTGTTAAATTTAGCTTCTCATGGGCGGATGGAACTCCATTAATCACAACCAAGGAGTCCGATTCCCTAAACTAGTCACTGCAAGAGTAAGTGCATCAGCCCCAGAGCAAATTTCCTGGAGCAGATGCCAATACTCTCCCTAAACACAAGTGGCCACAGCAAACCAGCAAGGCCAAAGGGATAGGCCATGTGCTCCTGGTTCTCCCTGAAGCCTGGAGCCATGGGGCAGCAGCACACAGAGCTAGGTTCCCGTGACCCAAGACAGTGACTGTGCCCAGCTTTGGGAAAGTGGAGGTCCTGCCCCATGTCCCGCTCAACACCTGGCCTTCGAGGTCATGCTCCCTGGGAAGGGGACATGTGAACATTCACTCCAACACCAATTGCCTCATTACCCCAGGAAAGCCAATGCCTCCCCTGAACCTGAAGGGGACACACAAGGTTCAAGGTACCATGGAGTGTGTGCTAACGTCATCGTTTACCAAAGCACAGGGACCATGGAGCATGCTTCGGAAGGCAGGTGCACACAGCTACAGGAGGCCAGGTTTCCTTATAAGATGGCGAAACGCTCTGAGTTGACTGCTGATGGTTGCATTCGCCCGTGAACATATGTACAGCATTAAATGCATTTCCACTCACAACGGGCTTATCGGGATATAGTTCAACATGAGTAAAGGAGCACCTGTATTTCAGGCACAGGAGACCCTTTGTATTTTTATATACTTCTGTTTTCAAACAAATCAAAGAGCATATGAACTCCATGAACCATGAGAACAAAGAAGAGAAGACAAGTAAGACACAAAATAGAGATTGGAGACAAGAAAACAAGAATGGCAGCCAGCTCCGTTTGGGAAGCTGCCCAGCGATCTCACTATGAACCACCCATCTGTCTGGCTCTCCCTGCAGCCCCAGACCGTCCTCTCCTGAAGGCATAGATGCCTCCCTGATAGGGACACACATGCCCACTCCTGGGGACAGCAAAAGGCTATGGTGTTCCACTGGGGGCTTCTCCTCTAGTAAGATGGGAGAGCTAGCGTGATGCTCAAGGAGGCTGGCGCTTTTGTTTAAATGTGCCCTGCTGTCCCCATCCCTAGGGAGCTGCGACAGTGGGAGTCTTGTTTCCAAACACATTCTCTGCTCTGCGACCTCATCCAGGAGCCTGGGTGAAATACCTATTATCTGTGATTCTCCTTAACACAAAATTCTCGTGAATGTGAACAAGTGGCTGGAAGACATAAAACTACACGTTACAAGCTCGGTTCCTGACCCTCAAAGCATCAAATATTCCAACGTGGAATATTCAGAAAGGCAGTTTTGTCCTGGCCAGTGTGACTTAGTTGGTTGAGTATCATCCCATGCACCGAAAGACTGCCGGTTTGATTCCCCACCAGGGCCCATGCCCAGGTTGTGGATTCAGTCCTCAGTTGGAGGCAGCCAATCGATGTTTCACTCTCTCCCTCTCCCTTCCTAAGAAAATACAAAATAAAAACATTTGAATGAAGTTTTATTTCAACCCCGGGTTTCTTTTAAGAGTTGTAAGCATTCCTGGGAACTAAGTCATGTCCTACTCTGAACCAAAAAGATGGGGCTGCCTCCTCAGCCCTTCAGTTTGGAGACTTGGACACCATTTGCTTTCTCTGCACAGTACTCTCAGAAAACACCGTGAAATGATAGAGATGTACTCCCTCAGCACAAATGACAAACAGCACACGAACCAGGGGAGGTACATCAGGTACACGTTTGAAGGTGGTATCTGTACCAGGGTCTTCCCTGTGTCTGACAAGCTGACCCACAGCAGACCCCTCACATACTGTTGAGGAACTCTCGGTGCGAAGTACAGAGCCTGCTCCCCACCCAGAGACATGAGAGCAGCCCAGATAATTAGATGCTTTCCTCCCTCCTTCCTCCTCTCCTTAATGGCTTTGGGAGGCATTCAGACCAAGACACTCCCTTGGCTGGCCTGGAGCCTAGCTGCTCTCTCAGTCACTGAAGCTGCTTGTTCTTAGTGAAATGCAAAACTCTGGCCACTTAGATCTGAACTCCAACTAACACTGCTGGGAAACTTTAATTATCAATTCTTAAAAGCCACACACAGAGAGAAAGGAATGGGGGAGCACATGCGCGCTCCATGGTGGGGACGCCTGCTGGAACCTCCCTCGTGATGTGCAGCATGGAACTGAGGGCCATGTGGCTACTGAGCACTTGAGCTGTGGCCAGTGTGAACTGAGGAACTGAATTAGCTGCATTTAATTTTAATTCATTAAATGTAATGGTCACACGTGGCTAGAAGCTACATTTAACACAGTAGGACTCTATAGAAAAACTCACTGAATAGAATTCACAACGTACAGCTTAACCCCTGAACTAAAATGCCGAACTCTGCAATGAGCTTACAAGGCATGTCACCTAGTTTTCTAAGTTTTAGTGGAGGTGGAGGAGGAAATGGGATTTCGAACCCTCTCCTCTCTTCCTCTGACAACTGATTCTCGGAGAGTGAAGAGCACGTTATTTGCTTTTGTTTTATCCCACGGACACTGTGAGCTCAGATCGTCCCTCAGAGGAAGGACTCATGAGCCCAGGGGTGTTGCTCATCACCCACAATTGCCAAACACATTGCTCTATAGTCTGTGCTAATTCCTTCCATTTTTTGGTATTCTTTCTTTACTTTTTTTATTTTTCTCTAACAGACTGTTAGAACAAGCAGAATAAATGGTTAAATCTTAGTATGTTTCTGAATTAAAGCAAACCACACCACAGTAAGCAGTGAGCGGAATGGCAAATGAGTGTGGGCACATGTGCGACATGCCCGTGTGTGAGCAGAGTCTAATGGAGACAAGTGACACTGAAGCAGTTTATTTCTCGAGTCTGAAGAAGCCATGTACCAGCCTGCACAGCACGGACACAGTGGGAGAAGAAACCCTTCTAGTGAAGCCCCCCCCCCCCCCCAGCAGACTTCCTTTGCCCCCGTGATAATTACACGCTACAACATAAAGCTGCAGGCCCTGATGCTCCTGTCCACCCTGACTGCACTGCAGGGAAGACTGCCATTTCTCCCACGTTTACTTCCCCCAGTTTTACAGCTCCGAGGAGGCCATGAGAGTCAGCAGACTGGAAGCTTCTTCAACACTGCAATACCGCTCTAGCAGAGGGTGGTCTGTCATTTCAGCCAGATCCACTTGTCGCCCACGTCCGCATTATACCCGGGACAGTACTTGCGGCCTGGCAGCTGTGAGAGAAAGCAGACAAGGTGAGCATGGGTGCCCTGCGTTCTCCACACCCTGCTGTGAGTGATGGGCTCCATAGGCACCGTGCACAGCATAGCTCTGCCTGAGAGAGCTTCCGTCTTGGCAGGGACCTATAAATGCAACCCAATCCAGTGTCCCCATCCTGTCAGGAGAGTGATGAGGCAACGAAGGGGACACCTGGGTGAGAACTGGACGGGAGTGACCCAGGCAGACATCAGGGCGACAGCATGTTCCTGCTTGCGCTCTGCCCAGCACCATGCGAAAACGCACTGATGAAGTCCCGGTGAGTCCAGCAGGAAGCACAGTAGGAGCACTGGGCTACATTTAACATGAGGCCTCAGTCAGTGCGGGTGGGTGAAGAAGCCAAAAAAGGAGGAGCTACTGAGGGAGCTGTTGGCTGCCCAGAACCAGAGCTGCCACTGCAGGAGGAAGGGAGGGGCTGTCACGGCAGCAATGATGTTGGAGGACAGACAGCTCAACGCCCACTCCTGCTAGTGGCAGTTAGGGAGAAGGGGGCCCTGTGACACAGTCCACAGAGTCTGGCCTCCCGGGGCACAGGCAGGTGGGCCTGGAACAGCAGCTACCAGGTGTTCCCATGGGCAGAAGAGCCTGCATGAGAGCGCAGTGACCATGGCTGTGACGGTGGTCAGCGAGGCAGGACCGTCCTGTGCAGGTGCTGGGGCTATAGGACCAGAAGGGGCAGGAAGATGTCAGGGAGCTGCAGTTCAGCTCTCTGATTCCAACACACACTTTGGCTACCACAGGGGGGTCACTGGGCCAGAAGGGCTGTTCCCTGTGGGTCCATGTGACTGACACCTGCATCTAGCTTCCATGGGTCTCAAGGGCTCAGGAAGTCCTGGGAGACACAGAAGGGCAAGAACAGTGTGGGAGGAATCAGATGGTTCCCTAGTGACATAAATAAATACTACTAGATGACGCAGCAGGGAGAAGAGAAAGCAGGTCCTCACAACAGAATGCTAACTTAAGATGTAGGACTCACAGAATCAGGGAAAGTATAATTTGGCAACCATCCTATTCATAATTTAGCCAAAAAAATCAATGAATGGTAGAATGAAAGCTTGAGGAGGAACCGGACATTGACAGTTTCAAAGTATGCCCCTCAAACATTTACTAATTACGAAGAGTGAAGACACAATCTTAGTCAAGGGACCAAAGTCAATACAACCCGTGACAGGACAGATGGGAACCAGTGCCACCTGACAAGATGCAAGGAGTTCTGTGGCAGGCCAACAAAACTGAAAAGCAGCCTCAATCTGATCATGGGAAACAGCAAGTGAACAGTCAGATGGAGGGACACTAAAAATACCTGTCTGTGATCTTCAAAAGTGTAAAGGTCTTAAATGACAAAGAAAGCTTGAGGAACTATCAGATTCAAAGAGACTACAGAGACAAGACAATCAAATGCAATCCATTATCCAGGAAGGGGCCCTTCTGCTCTGGAGAACATTACTGGGATGACTGATCACCCTGGAACCGGATCTGGGATTAGTGACAGCAACATATGAACACCAGTCCCCTAACTCTGCCGGAGAAGGTCCTTGTCCTTAAGAGTCAGACATCACGGCAGTGGACAACTGGCCCATTCAAGAGGACCTGATCCTGGGCTGGCACTGGGACCTGAGAGCTGGTTTTCCCAAGAAGTGCCCAGGAGATGCTGTGCGGGAGCCACACCTGAGACCTGGGTGCCCAGCAGGTGCTGTGCAGGAGCCACACCTGAGACCTGGGTGCCCAGCAGGTGCTGTGCAGGAGCCACACCTGAGATCTGGGTGCCCAGCAGGTGCTGTGCAGGAGCCACACCTGAGACCTGGGTGCCCAGCAGGTGCTGTGCAGGAGCCATACCTGAGACCTGGGTGCCCAGCAGGTGCTGTGCAGGAGCCATACCCAAAAACCTCAGCTTTAAAATGTTTGAGGCTACTGGTATTTGGCACCATTTGATCACAAAGGTTCAGAGAAGTTATTTTCCTATTCTTGTTATTTTTGTAAATTTGAAACATCAATAGAATGAAGATATAAAGACCACTGCAAACATAGTGAGACTGTCAGCAGGATCCTCCGGCCAAGGACCAATCCTAAGGGCAAGCACGAGCCCAGGGAGGAAAGAGCACCAGCCACATCAAACAGGGGCCAGTCTCCAGGCTTCAAACACAGGGAGAGATGGATGTGACAAGAGCTGGGTAAGTGGAGGAAAAGTCTCCTGAGATCCCACACTGTTCTGGGATGAGAGAACTACTGACTAGTGCTAGATTTTAATAAATCAAGGATACTATTTTAATCACCATGTTAGCCACTAAAACCCATGAAAAAAGAATAAGTAGTAAACAAATGGGAGGGAGGGGGAAGAATAGGGTTAAGAATTTTAATCTAAAAGAAGACAGGAAAAAAAAATACATAAAACATGTAAGAACAATTTAAAATATGCAATAAGGTAAGCTACTACTTAAACATAAATGTATCTGTCATTGCATTAAGTGTGAACAGATAAATATTCCCAACTTTCAGACTGAGCAGAAGTAAAAGCACAACTGTTTTCAGGTTACAAGGTGCCCACTGGAAATATGAAGATACAAAAAGGTTGAAATTAAAAGATGCAGAAAAACAACTCTACCATGCAAATAGCAAAAGAAGACTGCAGATGCTGCCTAAGCATTAAAAAAAGTAAACTTTAGGTAAGAACCAAAGATAATGAGAAAAAGTTCAGAACCTATAAGACAGTAACTCCACTGAGAATTGATAGTAATTTAAACCTATCTTCTTCTAATGACACAGCCTCTCAATCCACACAGAGCACAACTGGACAGACGGAGAAGAGCACATCTACACAGAGGCAGATCTCCACATCTCTGACCACAAGCTGATGGGAGAAAAAGGCCAGTGAGAAGGAAGACAGTGCAAAGAATGTGGCAAACAGACTTCACCCCATGAGACCAACTGCACTGCACACAGTGTAGGAAGGAGACCCTCTCCCTGAGGACCAGGGAATGTTCCAAAATTAACCACATGCACAGTCGGAAGGTCAGCCTCAATCACACCCCAAGGACTGAAATTGTAACAAGTATAATCTGACTGGAATGGAACTAAGCCAGAAATCAGTAACAGAATGATATTTAGAAAGATCCCCACTGCTTTTAAGTTATCTAGAATGATTCAAATTAGCATACTGGTCAAAAAGGAAATGAGGTTATAATTAGAAAATACTTTGAATTGAATAATTATGCAAAGATAACATTATGAAATCTAGCTAAGCTAAGTTTGGAGGGCAACATGTCCAGCTTTGAATGCATATATCGAACAGTAAGACAAGCCAGAAATCAGCGACCCACCTTTTACCACCTTTTAAGATAGAAAAGTAGTAAATGAAAGAGGAAAAAGAGCAGTGATCAGTGAGTTAGATGTATAGCAGATAAAGCCAAGCAAGAAGCTGGCTCCCTGGGCAATAAGCTCTCTCCAAAGGGGAGGGAGAACTGGGCAGTGGCTATTTGCAGGCGCGACCAAGTTAAAAACATAAAAAGACAAAAACTTCATGCCAAGAAAACAGAAAATTTATACAAAACGGGACAAACGACTTAAAAAATGTAACTTGAACATTAAATTTTCTGTGACTATTAAAGAAAATGAGTTGATAATTTAAAATATTCCAACAGAGCCCACTAGTGAATCTTTGCAAACATGGCAGGAAGAAGCACGCCCATCTTAGTCAATTTTCCAGAGAATAAAAGTAACAGCTCAGTGTATGATGCTGGCAGGATGATGATAAGGATACTATGTAAATATGACAAGGTTACTTTGAGAAAGGAAAATTACCAGCCAGCCTCTCAGGAACATAGATTGCAAAACCCTAAATTAAACGTGTGTATTAGATCCAGCTATACATGAAGAGGGTGATGTGCCCACAGGTGGGACTTACCCAGGATTCAAGGTGTGGCCTCACCTCAGAAAATCAGTCCCTATAACTGACCATATTTAAAAAAAGAGGAGAAAGATCAACCAGGGCAGATAAGGGGTGGTAAACTCAGTACCAGACTGACAGAAAGTCTTTGGAAAGTAGTGATAAGAGGGAACTGCCTCACCTGAGAAAGAGTATCTAAAATTAACTTACAGCAAGCAGACACTGACTGGTGGGCCCTACAAACTCTCCCCATGAGCTCAGAAACAAGACAGGACAACACTGTGACAACCTCCACTCAGCATGAACTAGATGTTTACTTTCAGCAAGGAAAGTAAAAAGGAGGAATGAGATTAACAGATAAAATGGTTATTTGCTGGCTTGTATTTTTCTTTTTCTATCATGGGACTTTTGAATAATCATGTTCCTTACAGAGTTAACATTTGAAACATCTTGTGTTTGCACAGTTGTCAGACGATGGCCCAGCTGCTGGTTCATAGAACTTTCTTGACTGTGCAGCGTCGTTACAACTATGAGCAGGGTCACCTAGAAATGTCACACATGAAGGGCACTGTCTATATAATCAGCTCTTTTTCAGCTCTTCAGTCTGTTGCATCTCTTGAGAGCATCCCCACACGATTACACCACCAGATGGAGTCTCCCCTGCTCTGGGTACCAGGTCTACTTTTCCAGGGGTAATCTGGCTTACTCTTTCTTGCTAAACTGAAATACAATCTATACTTCATAAATAGGCACATATTAACAGAAGAAATGAAAAGTCCTATAGACACGAGCTGTCACCTAGTTATAATCAATGAAGCACACACACTGAAACATACGCTCTGTGAAGACATGACTAATCTGGTTCTCTGGGACTCCTCAACTTCTTGACCTGAGGCTTCCCACTCCCTCTGTTCTTACAGAGGTCACCAGCATCGTGACTTCCAATGTCAACTGCATGCTGACGACTTCTAAATTCATAGTTACAACCCTCACTTACTGCCAGACTCCAAACCCATTAGACATGTTACTCAACATCTCCTCATGGGGATACTAAGTGTCTCGAACATACCATGTCCAACAGTGAATTCTTGATTTTTCCCTGAAGCCTGTACCTCTGTGTTGTCTAATATCAACCAATTCCCACCCAGAGTTCCAGTTTCTGAGCCTTAATGCAGCAGTCAGCTCACTTCTCTCTCCCACTTTCCAACACCAAATCTCAACAGATCCTGGGGGTTCTACCCCCAATATGACTTTTCCAAAGTTGTACGATGACTCTGCCCTCTGACATGTATTCTGTGAACAGCCTTCTGATGCTCTCCCTGCACCCTTGGCCAATCTTCTCTCAAGTTAGAGACAGATCATTCCCAAGACATAGTGTGTCACACACGTCCTCCTTCTTACCATATCCTACCCAGGACAAGCCATCTCTCCCTTATCCCCTGCCCCTCCCTCCCTCCCTCTGCTCCAGGACAGTCCTCCTTCCGGTGTCTGAATTGTGCAGGAGAAGCCTCCCCTCAGCCCTGCATCTGGGGCTCTCCGCTCGGTGCCCCAGCCACTCCCACCTCCTGCATCTCTGCCCACACTCCTTCTTGTGAAGCCTTCCTGGGCCACAACCAAGATCTTTAAGCTTAGCTCCCCTCACAGTAGCTCTGTCCTAACCTCTGCTAGAAATTTAATTTTTGTCCACAGCACTGGTCACCACTGTTCAACCATTTTTTGTGGTTTTGTTTTTTTTTTTAACTTTTTGTTTTGTTTCCTTCCACTGTGATGTAAACTCTGTAAGGGCCAGGATCTTGCCCATTGTAGGCACTGCTGTCCCCCGTGTCTAAGACAATCTGACACTAGTATATACTCAATAAACATGTGAAATGAGTAACTGAGATAAAGAACAATGGCACAAATGTGTGACAGAACAAGACGGAAGAGCCTAGTGCCTACAAAACCTGACATCAGGAGAGTGTGGCTGCTGACATTATCCAGAGTCACCTCTCCACTGGGGCCACAGCTTCGGACCCCTGTGCCACTGTTTTTTTTTTATTTTATTTTAAAAGGACACTTCACTCCAGTAATGCAAGTAGACAGCCAGTATCCTCATTATAAACAATAGAGCATGAAAAAAAAACTATAAAAATGAAGCTAAGTTATTAATTCCACACACACATCAATGACTACAAAATTCCTGAGCTTGCCCTGTTCCTTTGTATAAAAGTGAGACCATCAGAAGTGGGCCAGAAGCTAAAGATATAATCAGAATAATTTTTTTAATTTAAAGGGCAAAACTTTCTCACTAGTAATTTATGTATGTTTTCAAACCCTCTCTCTGCACATTAAGTCCCCAGGCCCCAGTGGTCTGGACTAACAGACAGCACTGAGCGACCACAGATGCCCTCCGGGCTGTGATGACAGCAGACTCTGCAGGAGCCAGATTAGCACATTACAGGATCTGAACTCGGTCCTAGTCCAGGAAGGGCTGTGTGGTCAGCTGCCTCTGCATATTATGAAGAGGGGCTATAGGGTCAGGCTGGGCCAGGCAGGAAGCTTTAGGACAAACTGAAGTAAAATCATGGAGGCTGCACCGAGGCGTAGCTGTGATGCCAGAAGAAAACAAAGCCATTTGTAAGATGGACTCCACAGCCATTAAATGCAGAGTGGGAACATCGCCAAGCAGGTTTCCTGGCCTTTGCAAGTGGCAGAGGTGGCACAGCTAAGCCTTGCCACGACCAAACCGTAGACCCGCACAGTTCCCCTCATTCAGATGCAGACTCTGCAAGTACTCACACCCAGAGGCCAGCACGAAACATACAAACATACCACTGTAGCTAACTCTGAGTTTCCTAAAATTTCCACACTGAATAAAATCACTTCCAAAACAACTAGAAGAACTTACTTAAAAGAAAATGCCAAGGACCTCAAGTAAGAAAGGAAGTGGTGGGACATACTGGGACACCCAATCACTTCAAGCAATTTGCAAGCCTCAACTCTAAGAATTATAGTTGTGCAAAAGTATTTACCTACTTACCCAAATGCTGCCTACTTAGCCTGTCTAATTTAAATAAATTATTTCACACGCTTGCCATTAACAACCTCAACCACAGCTCATGGAGAAAGGGCTCATGTTCCGACTCTTCCACTGGCACCAGCACTCCAGAGAAGGCTGTCTCATTCAACCACTGTGTTTCAAACCAGAACCGATGTAGGTTCTCTAAGTTCACGTAATCTTGCCTGAAATGACTCCCCAAACCATTGTGAAAATAATTCACTAAAAAGGTATGGAAATCAGATAAGACCAATAAAGCAGCTGACCCACCTGACCTCTGCCCTCACTGCTGTCCAACTGGGTCACCTCTCCACTACTTATGAACCATGAAGAACACGGCAACAGCAGAAGTCAAAGTTAGTATTAATGACATGGAGATAAAGCTAAGGAACCCAGAACATTTTTACACCAAGATAACAAGCTGACGAGGAATGTTGCTTGCGCACACACTGCCCAGAATATCTTCTTCTTCATGGCCTGGCCGTCTGAGGAGCCATGTCAGCTTTACAAACCAGGATAAAGGGAGAAAAGGAGAATCATTTCAATGAAAAGAAAGCTCTTTCACTGAAAAGAAACAAATCAAAACAATGACCAGAATCAATTTTCAGAGAAGAGATGCCGTTCCCAGTTGTTTGAGACCCACAGCAGGTCAGTTCTCTGCTTCAAAGGTCTCACCTCATGGAATTCACGGAAGACTCGGCCACTCTGGTGAGCTCCAATCGTGATTTCTGGGAGATAGATTGGAATGGTTGTGTAATTCAGCACCTTCACCTTATCCTGAACCCTAGGAAATAAGACAAACATGGGTCACACTAAACCATCAACAAATAATGAAATAAGCTGTAAAGCTGGTTTTTAAACACATCCATATTTAAAAATTAATACATTCAAATAAATGCCATTCATCCCTAAGCGGTCATCTTGAAGCATAACTTTCACCCCAAAGACCCTCTGCTCTTCGTTGCGCTGCTCTTGGGACGACTTTCACAGCCTGAGTGGAGTCTTTTTAAAAGCTTCAGTGGCCAAATGACTATCTTTGGGAATGGATACAAATTGGAAACATAAAAAAGAGTCACAGTGTACTTTATTTATTTATTTATTTATTTTTAATATTCTTCTTTATTGATTTCAGAGAGGAAGAGAGAGGGAAAGAGACAGAAACATCAATGACGAGAATCACTGATTGGCTGCTACCTGCACACCCGCTACTGGGGATCAAACCCACAACCCAGGCATGTGCCTTTGGCCAGAATCAAACCTGGGTCCCTTCAGTCCATAGGCTAACACTCTAATCACTGAGCCAAACCAGCCAGGGTCCATAGTGTGCTTTAAATATAAGCATAGCAGGAATAAAAAGGTAACAACAAACACTATATATTTCAATGTCATGTACAATGTCCTCATTAAAAATTTGCAAAATGAATGCGTTTTGAGAGAAAGAGCCTTAAATCAGGCAGGTCCACCGGGTTGACAGCACAGCATCATGCCTGCCACTCTCCCAAAGGCCAACACCATCTGCAGGATAAGGGCTCTGAGACTCAGGACTTGGGGAATGGGGTGTGTTCCCACACAGGATGGGCTGTTGCGCCAGTGCTCATGGCAGGTCTAGCTCTCTGCCTTCTCGGCACTGATAAATACAAATCATACGGTCATCTCCTTGTTTCTCCATTTTGTTTTGCTGAATGCTAAAATATTTATACTTCTGTAATTTGCTTAAATTAAATTTAGTCTGAATATAACCACTATACTTGAAGATGAAAAGCATTTTTGGGGCTTTTAGAAAGAAACATTAAAATAAAGTCTCCTTTCTTTAAGGGCTCAAAACAAAGAAAATAATTATTTTAAACGGCCACTTTTCCATTAAGGAGTTATAATGGCAGATGTTTCTGCTTGTAATGGCCCAAATGGAAGTTTTTTAAATGTCTCTGGCTTTCAGCCACTTAGTGAGAGCAAGTCCAGACCTACCAGGCAAACCCAAGCCTGTCCCCACACCATGAGCAGGCCCCACTGCATTCGGAATAGCCTGATCTGATCCAGGGCTCAGTGATCCTGTCCCTTTCCCACAGAGGGCTACAGAGCACCAGGACTCACAGTAGGTGTGTGGACATCAGATAAAGGCATACCCAGGTGTCACAGTAAAAGTCACATCACTCGTGCAATGACTGAATAATCCCCAACCAGATATCGCTCCCGAAATTCTGCCAGGATAACTGACTGCTTGCCTAGGGTCCCGATGTGGACTTTGCCTACCACGCACATGGTGTAGTGCACACAACTCAGACCAGAATTTTTCTCTTCTAACAGGAATTGGTTTTAGAATACATTTCATAAGCATGTCTCAATAATGTATAAATACACATCTTACACAAATAGATTTTATTCTTATTATACAAGGACATTTTTTTAAAGTGACCTCACAATAAACAGTTTCAAGTAAAAATGAAGTTCATATGTTTAAATGTTAACAAATATCAAGGTATGTAAGATTTGGTTTTCTCTACAGCTTGAAAATCCTAAAAAAAAAAAAAAAAAAAAAAAATTGTGGAAAATTTGGAAGGATTTACTGGCTTGACCTGGCCTGGGATCTTAAGAGGAATGCACAGAACAACAGCGCCATCTATGTTTGATTTGGCAGAACTATATTTTCACATAACCTCCCCAAAGGGATGGACCTGGACAAACACCCTTCAAACTGTTTTTGAAGATTAAAAAAGTATCTCTGAAAAGTTGAGGGGAGGTTCAGACCTTTGTAAACTGGCTATACTGCTCCTTCAATGCCTCACTATGAGCCTGAATTGTGACCTCAGAAGATATCTTTATCTCTAATTATCTATAGACAGATTGAAGATAAGGAAGGAATGAGGACGACATATAAAGAAGGCATAATTTTATGACCCAGGAAACAAAAGCAATGAAACAAAACATTCTGTTCACAGAGCACTCAGTCTGATTAAGGAGAACTCAAACTGGCTGGGAGTAATATAGCCTCTTAACATCATGAGCCAAAGTGCATTTAAATGAAATTAAATGTACTCAAGTTTGGTTTATAATATGAGGTGCTAGACCACATATTTTAAAACAAAATATGAAAAGACAAAAAACAACACTAAATTATGTTTTATGACTCAACTATTCCCCAGTTAACAGAATGTCTATACTTTCTCCTAAAGCACATCCAAAGCATCTTTTTAGTCTTTCCTGAAGTGTGAAGTCCTGTGTGGAGCACTACATTTCTGATCCCACACTTGCAACTCAGTTCTGCAGCACTGGGCATGCACCTCAGAAAGACATCCTCCAGGAGCCACGGAACACAGGACTCAAAGAGGGAAGGCTCTGGGGGAGCAGCAGGAAGGCGGAGGCCCGGCTGCTAACCACTCAGCACAGGAGTGAAGCCGACAGCACGGGCACCAGTAAGCTACGGATCACAGTTAAGAGCACAGAGTGCTCTCAAGGTTGAAAACCAGTTACCACTCCGCATCAGCACACACAAACATAATTACATACCGACACAGGTAACTGAGACGGTACAATATTGCTCTTACCCAGTAATTTGGTCAAGTTCTAGACAAAATGAGTATAACTAGTAAATGGCATGTTTACAGTAACTATCTCAGAGAATTGGTCATAATTTTCACTTGAGTCTCCCAAATTAAGAAGTGGTACTGGAAAACAAACACTATTACAGCTGTAAACTGTTATGAAATATCTTTGGGGAGAGGGCAGAGGAGCACAAACTGGGAAAAGGATAGAACAAGAACATTTACAATAAATGAACCGAAACAATTGAATGTTATAATTTTGAGCTTTGTGGGAATTATAGGATCTTTTTTTATGCTCTGATAACCACACAACTAAGTAATTACTAAAATTATGATTATAAGACAGGAATTTTGGACAGTCTAGAATGATTCCAGATTGCGTTCAAAAAATGACACTATTACTAATGGAAAGACTAAAAAAGTGATTGCACATGGCCCAGTCTCCATAGAATGTCAGGAGAGTCACCTTCTCTTATTTGATACTAGAGGCCTGATGCATGATAATGTAATTCGTGCACAGGGGGTAGGGAGGGGTTCCTCAGGCCAGCCTACACCTCTACAATCCAGAATCCCTCACACAATCCTGGACCACTGGCTCCTAATTGTGCACCTGCCTGTCTACCTGGTTGCCCCTAACTGACGTCCCCTACCTTCTTGATAGCCCCTCACTGGCTCTGAGCACCAGCCTGGTTGCCCCTAACTACCCCCTGCTGCTGGCCAGGTTGCCCACAAAGGGCCCCTCCCTACCAGCCTGGTTGCTCCTAACTGCCCCCATCCACGCTAGCCTAGTTACTCCTTACTGGCCCCCCTGCCAGCTGGTTGCCCCTAACTGCCCCCTGCCAGCCTGGTCGTCCCCAACTGCCTCCCCTACTGGCTTAGTTGCCCCCAACTTTCCCTCCACACCCCCCCTCGCCAACCTAGTCACCCCTCATGGTTTCCCCACCAGCTTGGTCACTCCACGTAGCCTACTGTTCAGTTGTTTGGCTGTCCCTCACTAACCCCCCTGCTGGCCTGGTCACCCCACACAGCCTGTTTGTTCAGTCATTTGGTTGTCCACACTAACCCCCCTGCCGGCTTGGTTGTAGGCAGCCATCTTGTGAGGACATGACACCTCTTTTTTATAGAGGATTTGCATAGCACCTCTTTACTATATAGGATTTCACATATTTTGCCAAACAGATACTATCAAGAATCACATATAAATCCACATACAATAATAGCCTGAAAAAGTTGAGGGGAGGTTTCAGGAAAAACAAAGGTGACTACAGTCTTAGAAGATAGCTCAGATTTTCACATATTTCCTGGGCAGACCAGAGGGTTAGGGCTGTGAATTAATTAATCCTAGAAAGTAAGACTTGGCCCCCTGACTAAACACAGTTCTGCCACTTCAAGACCTGATGTAAGGAGAAAAGTGTCCCTATGACATTCTGATGAAAATTGACTGATGTGCGTGTGCACAGGGGATTGGTGGGATGAAGGAGTAACTGACTGGAGGACTGCAGATGGTGAATGAAGGGATCAAACCCCAACAGCAGCAGAAGTGATGAAAAAGGAATGTAAGGGAAAGAAATCACTGGAGACAAACACATGACTTTAGGGTGGGATTTCAGGAAAGGAATGGGACCAGGAGATGAAAGCAGAGTTCAGGCAACTGACAGCTAAAGTAGGAGGCAACATTCAACCAGGACTTACACCTGAGCTGATGAGAGCCTCGAGGGAGGATAAGATGATCATGGATAAGACCACAGGGAGGTGCCAAGAGCCAGACACCACACCTTCCAGACCACTGTCACATGACCATGGCCAGTCAGAGCTCTGAGACCTGTTTTCCCTACCTGTGAAATGAGGTGAGCTCCACCTGGCAAGAGAGCTGTGGAATCAAGAGTTTCTGAAACATCTTCGAGATACAGTGCTGACAAGAAGAGTGACTATGATTAAGGCCTCAAGACATCAGACCTAGAGCTAGAACACTATGCAGCAGTTAAAGAAAAGATGTAGATTTTTAAAACAAGATTCAGACTAATACTGTATAAAATATCATTTAGGGACATTTACAAAAACATCTAGACAAAAAAATTAATATAATCATCCAAACAAAAGAGAAAGCTGACCACAGAGCTTTAGAAAACTAAAGGATTTCCAGTTTCAGCTGTGAGAAGTGAAGTGCCTTAAGCCACCATTCCTGCCCTGCATGCCGTCCACCAGAAACTCACTTTAAGTACAAAGACTCGGTTGGACGTGAAGAGATGGAGGAGGACAGACCCTACCTACGCAAATCAAAGGCAAGAATAGTTGTATCAATTTCAGACAAAGCAGACTTCAGAACTAGAAAAATTACCCGGGATAAAGAGGGGCATTATGTAATGATAAGTGAGCTCATTCTCCAAGAAGAAATAACAACTCTAAACACCCATGCACCTAACAACATAGCATCAAAATGCATGAGGCAAAAATGAACAAAAAGAAAGAGAAACTCAAAAGAGAAAAAGACAAGCCCAATATGTTAGCTAAAGACCTAACTGCTTCTCCCTCAGTGTCTGACAGACCCAGCGGACAGGAAGCAGTGAGGAAACAGATGTCCATCAGCCCACCTCACATTTATAAAACATTCCATTCAGTAACAGCAGAATCCACCTTCTCGTGTTCAACTGGAACACCAATCAAGATCACACAGAACATCTCACCCAATACAACAGAGAAGAAATCATATGAAGCAAGTTCTCAGATCACAATGAAATTAAACTAGAGAAATTTATAGCACTAAAGGTATATAGTAGAAAAAGACTTGAAATCAATCTTCTAAGCTTCTATCTTAGGAAACTAAAGCGAGAAGGGCAACTGAAGCCTAAAGGAAGCAGATTAAAGAAAAAGAAGTAATAAAAACTCTAGGTATCAATGACATTGGAAACAGAAAAATAATCAAGAACATCAACAAAAAGTGGGTTCTTTAAAAAGATCAATAAATATGACAAAATTTATAGAGGACAAATAAATAAAAATATAAATTATTTGAAGTTCAGAGTTTGTAAAGTGCAAAATAAAGGAAATAATTTTTTCTGGTATCAAAATCACAAGATTTTGTTTGCTTTTTATTTGAACTACTAGAGGCCCAGTGCACAAATTCATGCACAGGTGGGGTCCAGCCAGCATGGCTCCGAATTGGGGTGGATCCGGACCGGGCCTGTTGGGAGGAGGAGACAGCAGGAGGTTGGCCAGCCATCCCACCCCAATCGGGGCCAAATCAGGGCCAGGTCAGCTGGGGGGAGGGACTGCGGGTGATTGGCCGGCAATCAGGGGAGAGGCTGTGGGCAGTAGCCGAGGTCCTTGCCCCTGATAGGACGAGCGGTGAGGCAGGGGACTGATTGAGGTCAGATCAGGCTGGAGGGAGGGGCTGCAGGCCGATTAGGGCTAATCAGGGGGTGGGGCTGGCTGAAGGGAGGGGCCATGGGTGGTTGGCTGGCCGGCCCCACTCCTGATTGGTGTGTGGGGGAGGGCCAATGAGGGATGGGGTCAGCTGGGGGAAGGGCAGCGGGTGGTTGGCTGGCCAGCCCTGCCCCTGATCGGAGTAGGGGGCCCGAGAGCCCATGGTGTGAGGGGGGCCGATTGGGAGTGGGGGCATCCAGGGAGAGGGGCCACAAATGGTTGGAGAGCCAGCCCCATCTCCTATTAGGGTAAGGGGAGCAATTGGGAGTGGGACTGGCCAGAGGAAGGGGCCATGGAAGATTGGCCGACGGACTCCACCCTCATTGGCCAGTTTGCTGGCTGTAGTAGGCATCATAGCAACTAGTGGGCATCATAGCAACTGTTGGTTCCATTACAGCATTCAGGTCACTGGCTTTTTACAAATATAGATACTGTCTTCATAGGTACTTTCAGAAGACAGATATGAGCTTGCAAAATGACACACATTTTCGGGAGAATAATTTTAGACTATATCAGGTGTTGTAAAATGCATTCATTCATACAATCTAGCCAGTAACTCCACTTTTATACCTTAAGCGAGTAACCTGAAATGGGACAAAAATGTTTATAATATGCTCATTACTGACAATGGATATGAAGAAATTGAAATGACTGGAAAGATCAATATTTAAGAGATGGTGTATCTCAGGGCTGACAAACTCTCTCAGTAAAGGGCCACACTGTAAGTATTTTAGGCTTTGAGGACTATATATAATTGCTGTCATGCAGACTTTTTCCCTTACAATCCTTTTTGTAATGTGAGTAATCCTTTACTGTAATGTAATTTACTTTAAAAATGTGAGGCACACTCTGTGCAGCTGAGGGCTGGATTTGGCCCCCAAGCTGTGGTTTGCCACTCCTGATTTCTATCTCAGCCAATAAATTTAATAGCAGACATGAAAGGCCATTAAAAATCAAAATTCTAAATACTTAATAAACTAGGGACATGCTCATGATACTAAAAATAGAAAAGATATATGCAAGATAATTTTTATTTAGAAATATATAAGCACACACATTAAAAAAGAGAGAGAGAGAGAAAGAGATTGCAAGAACCAGCATTACACTGCTAGCACTGGTTTCTGTGGTGGCAGAAACAGGCGATTTCATTGTAATATGGGCATTAGTTTCCCAGCTTTCCATTATGAGTGGATGTGACTTTGACCTCTGATCCCTTGATCTGCCATCTTTTCAGTGTCCCTCACCCTCCTTACCAGGTTAAACCACTCACTTCTCCACTCTCCTCTGCTCCAGCCACACTGGCTGGGCTGCTGGGCACACTCTTTCACCAAGTTCCAGCCCAGGACTTATCTGTGACCCGCCCTCCTTGTCCCATGCTCACCCCCCGATATCACAGACCCACTCCCTGCGTCACTGGGGCCTCTTCAGAAACGGACCTTTCTCACATCTTCCCCAACAACGTTTTCAGTCACTTGCTGTCCCATTACCCAGGATTGCCTTCTTTCAGCCTTTAGTAGCGACACAGTTTTATTGATGTGGGTACTCTATCACCCCCACAAAATATATGTGTGATGGGATGAGGTGTTTTACTTGATACTAATTCCTTTACATTTGAAACAGTGCCTGGCACACGGTGAAGGTAAAGTAGCTGCTGAATTAATAACACAATCAATCAATTCAATATCAGATCACAGCCAGTTAGGAAAGAAAGAGGAAATATGCTTCAGTACATGTTGGCCTGTTAATACCTAACTTGAAACATGATTGCTTCACAAATCCATGTTGCAGCAGGCAACATATCAAACTCAAACACCAGCCCTCCCCGTCCCGGCCGCTCTCAATGTCCCCATACTCACAGCATTCGCAGATGGTAGAAGGTACTGTCAGTCTGGTCGAGCCACGGCCCCTTGTCAAACTTGAGGTATTCAATGTCCTCCACCACCTGGACAGTGGGAATTCCAATTTTAATAAAAGTCTCATTTTAAATGACACAACACTTTAATACACCAAAAACTACAAATATTTGGCAGGAAGAATCACACCATAAAAGTGAAGAAGAAAAGGAGTCAAAACAGATTGCCTTCAGTGAGGCGGGGGACTTAGTGATGACCCCTCAATGTGGGCATCTTGCCCAGCAGACACAGGAGACATTACCTGACGGTCTGGGAGAAAAAGAGGCAGATAAGAAGGAGTCAGACTAGGGAGGAGACCTACATTTGTGACAGACTACTCACTTCCTCTCAAGCAACTTCATTCCAGGAGCAACAGAATAACAAGTGAATGCATTCCTTTGAGAAGTCCCATGACCCACGTTCTCAACCCAAAGCCTGTAGCCAGGAGCAGCCTGGCCTCCCAGAAGAGCACCTTTATGATGCACTCTGTCCCAAAACACACCCAACTGGGAAAAGTCATCTGTTTCAAGAATTTGGATATCCCATATAATAAAAGGCTAATATGCAAATCAACCAGATGGTGGAATGGCTGGTCGCTAGACGCTCAAGCAGGGGCTGTCCCCTGGTGGTCAGTGCACTCCCACAGGGGTGTGCCACTTAGCCAGAAGCCCTGCATCGGGCTCCGGCTGGGGAGCGCAGAGCGGTGGGAGCCTCTTCTGCCTCTGTGGCAGCGCTCAGGGTGGTAGATCTGCTCCCCAGGGGAGGGGGCCTAAGCCGTCAGTTGGGACATAGGTTCCTGGACTGTGAAGGGCACAGGCCAGGCTGAGAGACACTGCCCCCTCCCTCAAGTGCATGAATTTCATGCACTGGGCCCCTAGTATTCAATAAGAACTCAAATAATGTCAGTCTTAGAGCTAAAATGCATCACTCTTCTTCTCAAACACATGCCATCTATTCTATCAAACATTTCACAATAACCTAAAACAAGTCAGCACTACAAACACAGAAGGCTGGGAAGGAATGACATGTGGCTGAATCAGTGAAGAGCAGAATAAATGAAACCTACAAGGAACTCTCAAGCTGACCCAGAGCCAGCTGAACACAGGCCTCCCACATGAGAGCCCTGCTCTCTCTCCTCCGAGCCTGGAGGCAGCTCAGGGTGTTTCATAGGGAAGCAGGCAGGTCTGTGATCCTTCTGTTATGTCACCACTTGCAGCTCAATCCCAGATCACAAAATCTGTTTCTTCTTCTAAAATTCTTAATTTTTTTTAGAAATTAATGCTCTTTTTCATGTTCTTACTAATTTTTTAGAGAGAGGAAAGGAGAGGGCTAGAGAGACAGAAACATCAATGATAAGAGAGAAACATCATCAATCGGCTGCCTCCTGCACACCCCTACGAGGCATCAAGTCCACAACCCAGGCATGAGCCCTGACCAGAAACTGAACCGGTGACTTCTTGATTCCTGAGCCACACTGGGTGGGCTGTGCTTAATATATAAGATGTGAGATAGTACTTTTCTTTTTTACCATGTGAATGGTCAACTGCCTCAATTCCTTTCAAGAAATAAAGTGTTTTCCTCTACTTTATTATCCTTTAAAATACTGTCTTTACCAAATCAAGTCTCACATACTGCAGGTGCGTGCGCGTGCACACACACACACACACACACACACACACGTGAGCACACACGTGCACCTGTTTCTGAACACTGTGCTGTTCCATTCATCTATTCATTTATTCTAGTATTAGTACCACAGTGCTTTCTTTGCCATAATTTTGTAATATGCTTTCGTAGTTGGGAGGGCAAATATTTTTATATTACTCTTTTTTAAAATTTGTGGCTACTTTATAATACTGAGATTTAATTATACTGAGATTCACTTGAATTTTTATAAAATGCACCTACTTATTTGGGGGAAGCTGGTGTCTTGACATACTAAATCTTCCTTGTTAATAAATCAAGTTTCAGTGTTATCTTCTGAATATTTTGAAACAGGTAGCTCACAGTTCTTTGTATCCACCACTTCATCATTTTAAGGTCACAGAAGCAGAATTCTTTACAAGAAAATAATGTCCAAAGAGTGTGATGGGTGTGGAATTCTCTTTGATTGTAAAACACAGCTGTTTCCCAAACTACTGAGAACTGAACTAATAATCTGATTTGCAAGAATACATGAATTGAACTTAATAATCATAAACTTTTCAGTCTTTTCTTACCTTTTCTGCATCTTGAGCTTCCCTTACACTGTACTGTAAAACTTCACATTTTTCACTGTAGAAAAAGAGGAAAGTCAGTGTAAATTTTCCAAGCTTACATTACTGTACAAATGAGCACTTAACCTTGAAGTTGCCATTACAAACAGGAACAGGACACATCCTTGAACTGGGCGCTGGGCTGGGCCTTGCACTGGCCCATGGCCTGCCTGGATCAGGAGGACAAGTTACAAGTAGGAATGTGCCTGTGACTGGATAGTGACAACAGCAGGTCTGCTCCTGCCTTCCCTGCTGCTTCCATCCCATGAGGGTGAAAAACCAGAGCCACCTGTGTTTACAGAGAGCAGGGCACACAAGTCACCATTACTGCTAAGCAGACTGTCTCCAACAGCTGCACTCATTATAGGAAAGTACAAAGGAGGCCAGGGTCTCAGTGAGATACGTGCATTGACAAGCAGCCCAGTGGTCATGTGGATATACACACAGATTACCTGAGCTGCTGGAATCTAGAATTTCAGAGGCAAATGTACCATCAAAATAAGCTGTTTCAATCAAACTGTGCAACAGGAGAGCAATTCCCTTCCCATTGTCCTTGGCACTGCAAAACCATGGTTGGATCCCAGAGAGAAGGGGACAACAGAGTGTCATTTCCTCTGCCCACTTCCTCTCCACACGGCCGTTAGAGACCTGCTCGCCCAGTCAGGAGGTGACTGAAAGCTGCAAGCTGGTAAGACTATACCTTACCAGTGAAAGAGGCTGCCTCCTTCCATCTCCAGACCAACTAGATGGAGATCCTGCAAGGCCACCCATTAGAGCCCATTCCTGAAGGGGTCAGCAGAATGCCAAGAATAGACTATTCTTCCCACAGATCATCCACAACAGACACAGGAACATTTTCTCATTTAGGTGTCCCTACTCCAGAGCACCATCCTATTCATGGGATGTAACCTATAGAATAAAAACCTCAAGAATTCACAAGCTATACTCAAACCAAGATCCACATGAGACCCGCTACTATGGTGCCAAACATCACCACCTCCGCAGACCATGGTCAACAGGCTGCTTATTTCATTCAGTTTTACTTGTGTTATAAGAACTTGCTATAGGCATACGTGTGTGTGTGTGTGTGTGTGTGACCTAACTTTTCCAGATGAACACCACACTATAACAGATTTTACACTGATTCTCACACTCTCTCCTGTCCACACTGGCCTCCTACATGTGTTTCCCCTCCTGACACTGTTGTTTGAACAGACAGTCTCGCACATGGAAGAAGTTGATTCCGCCCAGCGGTATATGGATTTATGTGACTGTGGTCTCATAAATAGTCACATCCTTGGCTCACCTCATTTCAGGAAGGAAGGTCTTCTTATAGGCGTTCTCGATGTCCTGAAGATAGGCAGGTGTGATCTTCATCTCATGTGGCTAAACAAACAGAAGAGTATCAGTGTGAAGGCTCAGCCTTCTCTGCCTTTACCTGTGCAAGTATGAACTGTGGACACAATCAGTGGCCAGCGTTTTCTTAGAACTCGTGCTGGGCACTGCAGGGACTCTGGGTGATAGGAAGCGGCCTTGGGACCACTTAGGATTACTCTCATCTTCATCTCAGTGTCAAAGAGAAGGCCCTTCTCTGGTTGGTTTGGCTTAGTGGCTAGAGCATTGGCCTGCGGACTGAAAGGTTCCAGTCAAGGGCACATGCCTGGGTTGCGGGCTTGATCCCCAATAGGAGGCGTGCAGGAGGCAGCCAATCAATGATTCTCTCTCATCATTGCTGTTTCTATCTCTCTCTCCCTCCCCCTTCCTCTATGAAATCAATAAAAATATATTTAAAAAGAAACAAGGTCCTTCTTCCCCAGGAAAATGTTCCCTGTGGGAGTGACATTTCCAAACAGGAAGCAGTCCCAGGGCACGTGGTCCTTATCAGTTACCCATGTCCCCATCATACTGCAAAGCCAGCGCCACTAACCCGGACCCAACCAAGGCCACAGAGAGTAAATGGATATATTTGAGATGAACAGTTCTACTCTTCAGTAAGCAGGAAAAGAGTTAAACGGAATGCAGAAATCAGTTTTGATTCATAGGAAAATCAGGGGCATGAAATCCCCATTAGAGAGCAAAAGGTACACGGCTGAGGGGAGTCCTATTAGCAGACCTTCTGTCCTACCGAATGGTTTACAACAGCGGTCGCCAACCTTTCAGACCTCACGGACCACCAGTGGTCCGTGGACCACCGGTTGGCGACTGCTCGTTTAAAAGATGCAGGCCAAGGGGACAACAGGGCACTGGTGGAGAGCAGCGACTGGCCAGGGGCCCTTCAGTCCTTGTGAAAGTGCCTGCTCTCTCGGGGCCACGTGTGCCCCACCCTGTGAGCCCCAGCAGTCATTTCCGCCTCCTGCAGATGTCGCTGTGAGAGACAAGGAGGGTGCAGAACAGAAATAGGCCTCAATGAAAAGCTGACTTACATCTCCCTTCTTCTGAATCTGAGCTTGGACTTCTGGAACGGGCATGTCGATGTAGATCACCAGGTGAGGAGGCAGGTAATCGCAGATGGTCACTTTCTTCACCTCGTTGTAGTGATCCACACCTGGCACACATAAGAGAGGCGCCATCTGTCTAACAGTCCAACATAGAGGTTTCTAAACATACTCTTCTTCAAATACAAGGATAAAGGCATATGCACTTCTCAGAGCCAGTCAGCTGTCAGTGAAGCTGCACACCGGGCCTGGGATGGCTCTGCAGGTGCCAGAGACCCTAGCATAGCAACCCTGCACTTCCACATCCCTAGAGTACCACCCAGAGAGATCATGCTGGATTTAAACCTGACTTTTTAACAGCCTTAGGATTTTTAAATGCGTCTTGGATTCACTTAACACATTGCGGATGGATCACAAGAATGCTCGCTTCATATTACACAGTGTTTTACAAAGTATCATATTTTAAAAAGATATTACCTTGTAAGAACGTGAAATAAACAACTTCAAAATGCAAGGGGTATTTAATTTTAAAGCGTGCCTTTAACATTTATGTAAAATGTTTTTTGTACTCGTTCAATGGAAACTTATCTGGCCATTGGGTAAAGCTAGCAATAAAACTACTGGTCTGCAATGTGTTAAGGGTCCACCTTTACTTCCTAGGCAACAAGGATAAGTCAACACACCATGACCCAGCTGGTTAGACGTCCTGTACGCTTCCACAGTACCCGGACAACACCAAGGACACACATGCATTTTACTGCAACTAGCCACCTGGGCTGCTTTAACACTGCCTCCACACTGCAGTTCAGAGGAGCCTCTGATACAGCTTCATCTCCCTGGCACCTGAGATAGAGTCTGCACACAGCCTGCCCGCCAGACCAACTATAACTGCCGCTCAGTATGTCCAGCAGGGGTCGGTACCATGGTCAGAGGCCAGGACTCTCGCTGCTTCTTTTACAGGCATGCAGTGGACACCCTCAACAGCAGGGTGGGTAGGCACACAGGAGCAGACAGCCTGACCTCACTCATCACTGGTATGCCTCCGCCCCCCATTCAATAACCAACAATGCTTACTCTGCCCTCCAGAGATGAGCCACCCCCACCTCCCCTCCAGCAGGCAGAGCACACAGGAAAAGGTCCATGGGCACGCTGACATGGCCTTTTCCCAGCCCCACCCCACCCTGTCCACCCCGCCCAGCACACTCCTGGTACAATAACACCCTGCAGGGCAGGCTTCTATCACCTCTTGTGGTCATATGACCTTTACCCAGGTCTTTATTCCTGTTCACATGTCACTTGTCAGACTTTTAACAATATCCCCACACAGAGCTACTGTCCCTAAAAGCCTCAGTGCAGCACCCTGATGGAGAAAAGGGTGGTGATAATATCAGCTGTCACCAGGTGCAGGCACGAGAGATGAAAGACACCTACTTAAATAATATACCAGAAAGTGCATATTTCAGGGAAGTTAAATCTATCGACTAAAGAAAAATAGCTTCGGTGTCCTGCTAGACAGAGCAGAGAACGGGGTGTGTGTGTGTGTGTGTGTGTGTGTGTGTGTGTGTGTGTGTTGGAGAAGGCCGTGAGGGAGTTGGGGGTTCAGCTGTGTGCTCCCAGCCCAGGACATCACCCCACTTTCACAGTAGATGTAACCCTAGGGGAGAGAGGGTGGAGGAGCCATTTGTTTCCTATGAGGTTACTAAATAATGGCAGATGCTCCCAGAATGCACACCAGCAAAAGGTGGTGTATCACAGCCCTGACAACCCAGGATGGCTCGAGATGGGACTCACACTGCCTCCGGATGAAGCCCTGCTTGTACATTGCCTCCAAGAACACAAAGTCGCTGAAGATGGAGCGCTCCAACACGACACCCTGCCCTATTTCAAGGAGGGAAACAGACACCAAAAATCAGACATGATAGCTACAGCACTGGAAATGTGTAATTTCATTTTAGAAAGGGGGAAAATTCCAAATATTTTCAAAAAAAACATAGATACACTTCTAAGTGGGAACTGGTTTTAAAAGAAGTATTTTTTGGTTTGGCAAGAGAACTTACTGATTCATTGTGCCAGCTGCAACAAAAGCATCAGATTACTAGAAAGTGTTTCAGGTTTAAACCAAAGTTTTCCCCGCCCACCAAGCCCATCACAATCCTGCTTCTGCCCCAACCCTGGTGAGACCAGGCTCCTCCTCAGCTCCCCTCCGGCCAATACCCCACTCCCAGCTAACGGCCAGCTTTCTCCTAAAGTCCTTCCCATCTAACTACTTAGCACCAATTCTGCAGCGACCCTCCCAATGCAGGCCTCCTAACCTCTGACCAGGCCAGGCTCCAGCTCAGTTCCAGCCCCAACTGCTCCCCAGCCTCAGGCTGCTCTCATTCACCCACAGAGGCACTTCCAAACTGCAGCCAGATCCTGTCACCCCTCCACTCCAATCTCAATGGCTTCCTCTCCTTCAGGAGAAAAACCAACAACTGACCATCTTACCCAGGCTACTTCTCTGACCTCATCCCCTCAATTCCCAGCCTCATTCACTACGCTCCCACATGATGGCCTCCTGACTGTCACATGCTCAGAGTGCTGGTCCCCAGGGGCTTCCGGCCCATCTTCCTGCACTCAGCCCTGCAGTTCTGGGCAAGGCCCCCACCCCCTGACCTTCCCGTCTGGAAGAGTAGCCTCCAGCCCTGCTCCAAACCCCTTCCTCTCTGCACCTACCATGCACTACCTGACATGGCATCAACTTTTCCTTTTTACTCAGTGTCTCGTCTACTAAAATGTAAGCCCCAGGGGTGGGGACTGACTTCCTGTGATAGCCCCTCTACACAGCTGGCACTCACTAAATATTTAATGAATAAATATGTGTAGCACAAAAGGAAACACATTTTCAATTAAAAGGTTTCTTTTTAAGAAATGGAAGTCCTGAGGCAGCGCTGAAGTATGCTTCAGGAAGAACCTGGAGTGAATGGAGTGTCACTACTGACTGCAGGCTCCACGTGGCTCCTGTGAGCTGGTCCTGGCACAGAGCATCAAAGCCACATTTTTTTTTTTTTGTCAGGAGCAGAGCTGACCAAAATCAGGACTTACATTCATAGAGGAAAAAGTATCACTAATAACATATTAGAAAAGATAATAACTAGACCCTCTGACACCATTTAGATAAAGAGTATTATCCTGCATCTCACTGTGCAATCTGTGTATATGGAACCTGACAGAACATAGACAGTGGCAATCTAAAGTGGTTGAGCTTCACAACAGGGTTCAAGTGCAGAACATGCTCACCAGCTACCTGGCCATGGATACTGTACCTGTGCTCAGCAAGTGTTCTAAGGCGTCTGCGTACTGCAGGAGGCGATTGGCATACAACCAGGACTGCAGGCGATAACTGTTGCCATCGTTACTTTTGGGATCATCATAAAACTTCTCCAAACTGCAGTTGCCACTAAACTGCATATCCAGAGGTTTTCCATCCCCCGTAGTGCTGTCTGCATAGTGTATTCCTGCTTCAGGAAAGTGCTTCAAACCTGAGGAGAGACAGACCACGTGGAAAGAGAGGTGGGTGCTTCACACCCTATCAGCAAGCAGCATGCACTAACAGGAACCACGCCCATCTGAACACCATCACTGAGGCTCACTGGTGATGACCTGGGGACAGTAACCTGCACACCAGACACAGGTGTGTTCAAGGGAGCACTAAAGACACTGAAGACATATCTAAAACAGGCATGAGAGAAGCATGTCAGCTCACAGGTTTCAATGCAACAGGTACCCCTGGACCCCCACCCCACATGAACTCAGCCCACAACTGTGGGAGCCCCGTATGCAAGCAGGCAGGTGCTCATTAAGGACCACAGGAAGACTTGGAGGACAAACACCCACACCGGGAGTAGGAAAGGGGGCTGGCACCTGGCTTTGCCCTAAACAGCTGTGTGCCTTCAGCTTCATACTGAGTTTACCCATCTGTGATGACTGTCATTATATGCCTCATTTCAGAGGCTGTTATAAAGCTCAAATAAGACAGCTCATGCCAAAGTGCTCCATTTCCATCAACTTGAGAATGGCAAGGATTTTTTAATTTTCCAAATATAAAAGTTAAAAACAGCTCTTTAATAAATATTTTTAAATGCAAAATACCCACCTTAGCCCAATTCTACCTAGCCAATATTAAAGTAACATCAACCCAGGGAAGCAACAAGACATCTCAGATGATAGTCATTCTGCATGACACAGATTCATACCTAGTTTCTCTGCTACTATTTTTGCAAGCCTGCTTTTTCCAGAACGTATATTGCCATCGACGGTTATCACTTTGCTGAATTTTGTCAGCTTTTTTGTTGTTTTGTCACCAAATATGAATGCCAAAGGGCCAAACTGCCTCTGGCCCTGTACACTCGTATGGATTCCTCCCTGAAAAACACAACAGCAAATGTGGGCATGCTGGCTTTTGCAGGCACGAGCAGTTATTAGGTAAAATGCCAAGAAGGCCATTGGTTATAAAAATGCCAATATCTACAACTTTATTATCTATTTGTTTGTTTAATTACAGGTCTCCCTGTCCCACCCCCAAGGCAAATTCTTAAGGACAGGGGGATTAACTGAAAAGATTATGCATACTATGTTTAATAAAAACTGGATAGATGAAAGTAAGGCAGAGTGTAGGGAGAGTGGGGGGAGAAAGGAAGGAAGGAAATAAAGAACATTTCTCTAGTCTTAGTCTTCTGTCCTGATCATCTCACTGTCTTCAAACAGCTCCAAATGTCCTGATAATTCCTAAAAGCTAACAGACCTAAAACCGAGATTTCGCATCCACATCCCATACCCAACTCTGCTCCCTCACAAGCTCTCTTTCCACCACCAACCAAGGAAAACAGTGCAAGCATGGAGTCATCTTTCATATTCTCCTCATTCCTCCAACTCCACAATCACTCACAAAATCCTACTGATCCTGAGTCTTATATCTCTCTGGAGCGAGTCACCTTCCTATCTCACGGATCCATAGATGCCCTTACCTCTCTCACCTACAATGCAAAAACCTGCCTCATCTCCTGTCTCCAATAACCCCAATTTATTTTTGCACCAAAGCCATAACAATCTTCCTAACACCACCCCCCCGCACGCACATACACACACACACACACACACACACACACACACACACACACAACGGAAAGGCAAAAGTAACTAGCAAAGCCACAGCCACACAGTGATATATTCCTAAGGTTTCCAGTCACAGTTCTGTTTCTCCAAACCCTCCGCGTACAATGTCATCCGTCACTGTTCGCTACCACAGGGGTTCCCGCAATCCTTCCAAATCCAACCCAGACACCTTCCGCTCTATGCCAGGCCACCACCTGGGCTGGCTGTCAGAGCTGCTACAGGACACGGTGCATCAGGGAGTGCGTGCCAGGCTCTTAGGCGCTCACCGCACCTGCTCGTCCGCGCACCGCACACCTGCCCGGGGTACGGGGCTTGCAGACCGGCCTCCCACCCATGGGCAGCAGGCGGCCGGTTCGCCTCGATATGGAGGCCGAGAAAAGTGCTCGGCCCTGAGTTCTGTCCGCGACTCGAGATCTGGGGGGTGAGCGGACAGGAGCGTGTCCCCAGACAGTTCCACCGAGAGCCGCCGCCCAGAGGCCCGGGGACAGGGAAAGGGGTGGCACCGGGAGGACAGGCCAGATCCCCCGCCCGCCGCCGCCTCACCGAGCGCTGGGCCACCGCCGCGAGGCCCCGCGCGGACGCGGGCACGGGAGCCAACCTCAACAGTGTCAAGGCCATAGCTCCGCCGTCGGCTCCGGCTCAAGGACCCGAGGGGACGCAGTCGCGCGGGGTCTTCTTTCGGGGCCGGCGCGCCGTCGTGACGTCATGATAAGGGTGCCCTTGAGGTGCCTGTTGGGAACATCAAGCAGAGCGCAGGCGCGTAGAGCGTGTCCAAGGAGCCGGCCCCGCCCTCTGTCCCCACGCGACCTCACGCCCTTAGCGTCGGCCTCGTCCCCCCCTCTCCGTGCTGGCTGCCAAACAGGGGACGCTCCCGCCCTTGCAGGCCCTCAGAGCCGGCATCAGCATCACCTCCGTCTGGCCGGGGAGGGAGCCGGATCGCCTGAGCCGCTGGAACGAGGGGCGGTAGACGGACCTTCCCGCCCAGTCACCGCATGTACAAATGCAGGTGCTATCGATAGATGTTTCTCTGATGTGAGAATTTCTGCTAGTCTCAAATAGGGGTGCTCCTTACCTTACGATAGGGTTACAGCCAGGTAATGGTAAAAAATGCATGTAGTATACCCAACCCATTGAACATTAGAGCCTAAATCGCTTTAAAAATGCTCAGAACAAGAGCATAATCCAATGTTAGTTGTTGTCCTTCCTGATCATATGGCTGCCCAGCATCACAAACACTGGACCGTGTATCACCAGCTTGGGAAAGGTCAAAATTCCAAGTATGGATTCTACTGAACATGTAGCGCTTCCACAATAATGGGAAGTCAGGGACCTGTGGTATAGATTCCTAGTCCCCAATGCCAGAAGAGTCGTAGTATTGGAACTGTTTAGTATCTTGGTGGTGATGGACTTACACTTACTAAGTGAATAGAGGGATATCTGCCTTGTCCTCAGAATTGTAAAGTCAATGAAGATGGTGTATAGATTCAGTGCAATCTCAATAAAAAATCCAACTAATTTTTATTTTGTTTAAATGGACAAGCTGATTCTAAAATGCATACCCTCACCCATACTTAGGAAGTGCTAAATAACCAAGCCTGATGGTGAAGAAAAAAATGACAGAGGACTTACTACCAAGTATCAAGATACATGAAAAGTTATATTAATTGTGATAGCATAGCATGCTGCAGAAATAGACAGACAAATGGACAGAATAAGGAATCCAGAAAAGATGAGGATTAATGGATGGATGGATAGGCATTTAGTAATGAAGAGTGACATTTCAGAGAGATTCCCTATCCCAGCATCCCTTTACTGTAGCTGTTTTGGCTCAATGTATAGAGCATTGGCCTGCAGACTGAAGGGTCCTGGGTTCGATTCTGGTCAAGGGCACATGCCCGGGTTGCGGGCTCAGTCCCCAGTAGGGGGTGTGCTTATTAAGAGTCCAGTTTCCCATTGCCCACCTTCCTGGTCACAGAGCCGGGTTATTGGCTACTGCCCGAGAGTGAGTGGACACTCCCACACAGGATATCCACTGTTTAATTCTTTCATCATGACAAGGAAACCAGCATGCAGTACAACCCCACTGAGCTAGCTGATTTCTGCCTTCCTCAATCAGGGTTCTCCATCAATTGTTCTCCATGAAGTTCAGGGTAGCTGAACTTCCAAACATGCTGTCCTTCCACTGAGAACCCTCATCTCGTTGGCCAATCAAGAGCTGATCATAGGACACTGCCCATGTGGCAGCAGAACCTGGCAGCCCTCAAGTGGTTCTGAAGTCAGCCGGAGAAACCCCTCACTCGCCTTCTGAGCACTGCTCTCATCATAGTTTCTCTAATATCACCCAAGACATGCTGGTTATCTTGGGTTTCAAGATTACTTTCTGTCCTCAGTCCTAGGGACACTTTCAATTAATGCCTAATAGCAAGCTAGTAATTGTCTCTCAAATAGTAAACATCATCATATCCCTGCACCTGGAAACACTTTGTTCCAAAGTCCCAGTGGTTGCCACTGGGTGGCACTCACGGGCTTTAGCTCTGAGCAAGAGCCCCAGGAGCGTGAGTTGCTGGTACCTCCAGATCACATCTGCTGGGGATCATCAGGGCCAAGGGCATCCATAGAGATCTTTAAACAACCTACTGTTGTTCAGTCCACCACTCGAATTTGGCCTCCTCTTGGGGAGAGGTGGGAGCTGGCAACATTCCCAATTGTGAAACGTGCAACCTCCAAAATCAAGACAACCCAGCCACACGCTGTTTCGTCCTTATTCCAGGGAGAGGCAATGGATGAAGTTATTTTCAGTTGCCTGTGGGATGTTGAAGGTGGCTTCCGCTTGTGTTATTTCTAAGGATTTCAGCAAGTGGGAGGGCCCTTGTACCTTTGCTGGTTTATCAAACAGGCTGTTAGTCACCTGCATCAGCACTGACTTAAGTCAGTCCCCACCTGCTCTTCAGTTTCTGATATTATCATGATATCAACATAGTGTTTTATTACCCTCAGACCCTGCATCAAGTCCAACTCTTCTAACCAACTTACAACAGTAAGCTGGTGAGTTCTGAGAGCTTTGTGGCTGCTTGATAAATGTGCATTGGGATCCTTCCCACATGAAGCTGAGCTGCGGCTGGCTCCTTCCTGAGACTGAGGAAAAGCATTCTCGAGAGCTGCCCATGATACAAGTCTCCTTTAGTGTGCTGTAAGTATTGCACTATTGAAGCCACAGTGATAACTGCTGATGCTAACAGGAGAATTGCTGATTCAAGCCTGGAGTCTGCTGTCAGTCTCCACAAGCCTCTGCTTTTCCCATAGGTCACACGGCACTGTTACATAGAGAATCTGATAATACGCATTCCAGCTTCAATTGGTCACAGGGTAGCTGAACTTCCAAACATGCTATCCTTCCACCGAGAACCCTCATCTCGTTGGCCAATCAAGAGCTGATCATAGAACACTGCCCATGTGGCAGCAGAACCTGGCAGCCCCTCAAGTGGTTCTAACATGTTGCGTATTAAAGTGCTAATCTCCTATGCTGTTTCAAATTAACAACCTGTGCAGGCTCAGGCAAGCCTATGGACTCCCACATAGTATGTCTAATTAATGCTGACCGAAGGGTGAACATCCATGCCTGCTGTTTTATAATGCTAGGTAAGGACATGCTCCCTGGTCAGACATAGTATCTATTTCAATAATACATTCATGCAGAAGAGATGCAGTCACTCCAATGAAGTGCATTCAAACACTCCAGTTTTTATAACTTCCACCTTAATCTCAGCCTTCCAGTCCAGCTCCAAGTCTCCTCATCCAATTATATCTCCCATTTTTACTTTACCAATGAGAAACAGAACTACAGCATTGGGCTTTCACATCCAGGAGTACCAGAAAAGATTTTTCTCCACCCTCTGGCCATTATCCTACACACGCATAGACCTTAGAGTTCCCATCTAAGGGTTGAGCTAGAAGACCCTGGCCCTTTGCAGGCCTCATCCTGAAGACTGAAAAATACTGATAAGAGAAACACTAAGTAATATAACACATTATTAAAAGAAAATAACAAAGGCCTACAATTAAATGGAAAGATATACCATGTTCATGGATTAAATTTTTTAGTGTTGTCAAGATGCTAATTCTCTCAAAATTTATTTATAAATTTTAAACATTCACAATCAAAATACCAGCAGGTTTTTAGGAATTTAAAATCTTTAAGATTTTTATAGAAAGAAAAGGTTCTAGGAGAGTCAAATCGTTTTTAAAAAAGAAACTAAGTTTGAAGGGTATCTATTACCTAATTCAAGAACTACTATAAATTCAGTCATCAAGTTATCATGAGATTGGCATAAAGATAGAAATATAGTATATACTATAAACAGAATAAACTATATATAAACAGAATGTACTATAACCTAGAAGTTGACCATGAATAAATGGTAAATTAATCTTTGAGAAAAGTGTCAAATAGAGAAAGGGTAGTCTTTTTGACAAATAATCATGGAACAATGGAAATTTTTAAAAATTACTTTAGAGTAAATGTGTGCGTTTGGAGAAGTTTTTAATATCTTACCAAATATGTTTACTGTAGATTTTTCTAAATGGAATGTTCCTTCTGATACTTTATGGAGTTATAATTTATTTATTTATTTATTTATAAATGAAAAGTTTTATGAGCTTTGTCAAATTAATATAATTGGGCATTATGACCACAATCAAGATCAAACATTCAATCATCATTCAGATTTCTTATTAGCCATCTGCATTTCACCAAACCCAAAGATCCTGCTGCAGGTGAAAGCAATGCCATCTCAATTATGAGCTAGAATGTATGTATTATGTAGGAAAGGCAGATTCAGCTCTAAGTGAGATACCTGGAAGCTCCTTGGAGAAGAGTCACTTCTGGTGGAAATACCCTTGTGGTGGCTTGGTCACTTGTTGGATGTGTTGTGGACTCAGGCCGATCTCTTCTTCCAGATGGTCTTTGTCTATACAGCGGAGAAAGCTGCCAACATCGTCAAACTTCACATCTCCCAGTTATCCTCTTCCAGGTGTTGTGAGTTGCTGTTCTGGTCAGCTTTCAAAAACTGAGGGGAGACCTCTAATTGTCCTCCCTTCTGTGGAGTGCCTTCTCCCAATTAGACAAGGATGGCCACAGTTCTGACTGAGCAAGAGGATGGCAGCATCTGCAGGGTTTTTTTGTTTTGTTTTGTGTGTGTTTTTTAGTTGTTGTTTTTTTTTTTTAGAAGGTATAGTTTACCATTACCAGTTTATTTTTTAATCCTCACCTGAGGATATTTTTTTAAATTGATTTTTCAGGGAGAGACAGAAAAATATAAATCAGTTGCCTTCCACACACTCTCCGATCAAGGAACGAACCCACCACCTTTTGGTGTACAGGTCAATACTCCAACTAACGGAGCACCTGGCCAGGGCCAGATGGAGAGGTTTCTTACTACAAAAAAGAGAACACTTGGGTTTGGAGTGATGGAAATGTCCTGTGTCTTTCATGTGACAGAAGTTAGATGGATGCCAACATTTGCCAAAACAATGCCTGACACTTAAAATGGGTGCATTTTACTGCATGTAAAGTGCATCTCAATAAAGTTAGTGATAAGGAAATAACCTCTCTCTCTCTC